AATTTTTACATGCACCCTCTTACCTTTCCTTCACCCCACCTATTTTGGTAGCATGTGAAAACTAAAAGAAAAAAAAAGTGTGTGAAAAAGAAGAAGAAAGTAGAAAATTGAAAATTGAAGGTATAAAATTAGAAAATAAAAAAAAACTACAATATTTTATAATTTAAAAAAATAAATAAAGGAGGTGTACTTAAAAAATAAAGGATGTGTATATATCATGAGCCTTTTTATAAGTGCACCTCCTTTATTTTTTAAAAAACTATAAAATATTGTCATTTTTATTTTATTTTTTAATTTTACACCTTCAACTTTTAATTTGCTACTTTCTTTTTTATTCACATACTTTTTTTTTTCTCTTTCAATTTTTACATGCTACTAAAATAGGTGAGGTGAAGGAAAGGTAAGGAAGTACATGTAAAAATTGAAGAAAAAAAAGAGGAAAGATGCATAAAAATTTACTAAATAAAATGTTGTGGATGTAAAATTAAAAAAATAAAAAAAATTAAAATTATTTTAAAAATTTAATTATTTTTTTAAAAAAGGAGATGTACTTATAAAAAAAAGAGGTGTATATATCATGAAACAATTATTTTGGTAGAAGATCATGAAAGCCCTGACTCCTGAGGCAGGCCAGCCCAATATAAAAAGTTACAAAAAGTGGAACGGTGCTGTAACGGCGTGAGAAACAGGAGGGAAATCAAATTTCGTTTTAAAATGTAAACGCACAAAAAATAAAACCAATTTCAACAGGTACCGCTTTGTTCGCCATTCACTGTCTCTGGTTTCTACCCTCTTCCCTTCCCGCGCCAAACTCACACGACACCAACATTCGCCTATCGATTAGGTTTCTTCTATTCCCTCGCGTTTTCGATTCGCATTTTTCCTATTCAAATTATTTTTCAAAACCTACGCTCTTGCGCTCATAATTTGTGCAATTTGTGGTTTCTATCGCAAATATTTCATGCTTACTGAATCTACCCTTACAGATTAACCACGATGAGGCGTTTTGGTCGGTGAAGTGCGCGTGGCGACGGTGTTCCCAAGCCAGGCATGGCAAAAGTGGCAAAACCAAGTTCCGTGCCTCCGAGCTCTCATCGACTTGGCTCAGGGGCTTTGAAAAGTGGATCCATGGCTAAAAAGAAGACACCTTCGGAACTTAGGGTAAGTTGCCAAGCTCGCTACCTCAACTTAGTATGTACTTGGGCTTTGATTCTAGCATTCGATGCGTAATGGTCTTATTGTTATACTTTTGTGAACCATTAGGGTCAGCACTACTGACGGCTTAGTGGTGAGAGTTAGGGTGGTATGAATCTTGTAGTTGTTATTGTAATTCATACCCATAGAAGAAAAATTGTTATACTTTTGTGATATATAATTTCATTTTCACTGGTCCAAGAATGAGTTACTGTATGCGCTTTTTGCTTGACTAGGTAGTAGGTACATGCTTTCAAGCTGTTTCCATTATGTAGGTAATGTATAAATATAAATGGTTGCCTTGAAGTAAAATATCCCCTAGGATTATGATTTGGAAGTGAACTTTATAGACATAGTTTATGACCAGTTGTATCTCTACTATGGTCGCTCGTTTCTCATATCAATTGAAATGGAGTCTGTATCTTGGTGCACCCCTGACTCCCTCCACATATAGGCATAATACAATTTCAATTAACTAGTATATATCTGTGGTCAAGGCAAAATTTTAATTCTCATACCGTATATTCTTGACAGGGAGAGCTGTTGAAGCGGGCAAGTGTTGTGGACCTTACTGATGAATCACCATGCCCCTCCTTGGCTGAGCCTACAAAGTAAGCTTCTGCTTCTCTTTCAATCTATTATTTCATTATTTGCTGAGAACATGCTTGATTTATGTTTGCAGGATCACAGAGGTGGACAATGGACATAACAAAAAAGGATTGTGGAGGGCCCCTAGATACACTGACACACGAGTTGATGAAGTATTTACTGCCAAAAAGTCCAGGTTTAAAATTGCATCTGGAAAGGAAAATGCAAAGGTTGTTAAGTTGACATTTTAATTAAATCTTTGATCCCAAGATGTTAATGTTGTTGGTAGTGAACAATGCAAACCTTTTTACTATGCTCAGGAAAATCCATCTTTGGGACAAACTAGTAATCTGAAGAATCTTTCAGTTTTTTCGACTTTGGAGGCCAAGAGACAGCAAGGAAATTCATGGTTTGCTTCATAGTTTAGATGATTGCTTGATCCCATGGTTATGTTTTCCCAATGCTGATCTTGCTCCAAATTTGTTGTCAGCTTGGAAAATTCTGTTTCTTCAGCTGAGCTTAGCAAAAATGATGTATTACGATCTTGTCAAACAGTTGAAAAGTGCAGCCAAGGAACATTTCTTAGTGTTGCGGAGCTTTCATCAGCTGCTGATGCATCTTGTGACTTGGCTACTGTTGACATGGTAAACAATGAAATTGTCTGACTTTTTCTTACCTGTTTACTTACATTTCAGATCCTATAATTAGGCTACCAATAATAAATTATAGGGCAAAGCTTTAAAAGGACTAGTTGCATTCGAACCACATGAGGCTAATGACATTGCTGCTGATTCGGCTGAAGGACACACAGATTTGCCAACTGTTGCAGGAAACTTCTTATCTGAATGGCATCTACCTGGCCAGAAAATTCCTTTGGATCTTACTCTAAAATCAAGTATGCGGATTGTATGCTCCTCTTTTGAGAATTGGTGAGTCATGAGTGCATAGATGGACTAATGTATTTGCATCAAGCTTGGTAGGAATAGGATGCACTGGAATGAATTGAAAAGTTTTTTACACTGGGATTCATAGTTTATATAAGAAAACGAGATATTTTAGGTTTCCTTAATGCTTTTATAGATTTTAAAAAATCATTTAATTTTATGCTCAATGCTCATATAGAGTCTGATGAATTCTTTACTAAATGTTGTTAAGCCAATTCAACTGGATTTCTGTCAATATTAGATAGATGCACTGGCAGGTAAAACATTTTAATGATAATGTTCAGGTCGACCTATATGATAGAAGTGGGAGTCCAGTTTCATTATATTTTCAAAATTGAGAAGAAAAATATTTACATATGATGCGATAATGTTGGTGTTGATGGAACTAATGAATTTACCATGTGTTCATGTTGTACTGTATGTCTGCCAAATATTTTTCATGCCCTAATTTTCTTTATTTAAATGAATTAGATAACTTGTTAATATTTCATGTTTCTATTGATAAAATCTGTTGTCTATATGAAGCTTGTTTTGCATAGACATTGATACCTTGAACAGGAAATTGGTCTCTTTTATTTGTCTAATGTTATGTTGTTGCATTTGTTTATGAGATTTGTATGTCATTTATGAGATTTGTTTATGAGCTTGTCTTGCATAGACATTGATACCTTGAACAGGAAATTGACCTTTTTTATTTGTCTACATGTTTATGTTGTGACATTTGTTTATGAGATTTGTATGTATTTTTCATTGCTTGCTTTGCTGTCAACTATCCTTGATGTCCATTGTGTCATTTCATGAAAGCTATTTTTGACTTCCAAATTTCATGGTACATAGGTCAGCTATGCGCGGTACCATGCCTCAGTTAACCTTCCGGCTCAGTTATTTCAAGAGTCAAAATATGAGAGGTTCTGAAGGCTTTAAAGTTTTACCTTCATGGATGTATCCTCAGTCCATTCTACCACCTTCAATAATATCACTCATAAGCTCATCAACATCAGACGGAGGTTTTCAAGCAGTTTTCAGTATATCTGTTTATTGTTTCTTTGTAATTTTCCTCTCTCCATTTTCCTCAAGCTCTTATCCTCCCTTTTCATGCCATAGAATTGGAGTTCTTGAGGAAACGACAAGTAGCTTGGGAAGAATCCTTTCGGAACCTCTATTACATGTTTCGAAAGAACATCTGTGGCCTTTTTTATGGTAATTGTTCATTACCTTCATTTTCTTTTTGTCATATAGTGTTGTAATCATTATAAAAATATGTTTATATGATGCCTTGCCTTTTCTATTCTTCTGGATCTTTTTGTGTCTGCTCGTGAGATGTAATTTATCCTCTTTCTGCATAAAGAAGAACTATTATGATAAAAAAAATATAGTTGTTTCTTGTGGTATTATTGATGCTGACTTAATTTCTATTGTTTTAAACTTCCAACTTCATTATGCGTTATTTTTTGTTAACACTTTACATCTATTTATTTATATTGGAATATGGATTTTGCAGTTGTAACGTTTTTTCTTTCCCTTTTCTAGTTTGCACTGCCCAGTTTGTGGTGATGTTCACCGGTGGCGATGGCTCTGGGGAATCTAAATGTTCATGCAATGCTTATATCTCTCAGTCAACCCAAGGTTTAAGATCATTGTTAAGAGAGCATGTAAGCTGTACTTATATCAAGTATTATGTGTAGCTTATTTATAAGTTTCTAATCGCATAGTGTGACAGTTTTTTGGGGGGAGTTGGTAATGTTAAGAATGATATTTCATTGATGATATATTTCCAGATCTAGGAAAATCTCAGTGAAAGTGTAATAGGTACAAGGCATTTTATTTCTTGTCTTGCTAGGTTTTTGTCAGAGTAGTAGTCTCATTTTAGTTGCCACTTGCCAACAATTTCTGTGTTCAAGTAGATCATGGCAACGAGCATAATGAGTAACAACTCAACAAGGGATGTACTTACTCTATGATTCTGACTACAAACATTTTTAACTTGAATGAAATTTATTGTTCTATACAAGTACTCGTGGTTTTTTAGGACTTTTATTCTATATTGCTTATTTGGCAAGGCTTCTTTATTTATTTTATTATTATAGTTATAATACTTGAAT